CTGGCTCCTGCGTTCTTCACTGCACCTGGCCCACGGGCTGCCACACTATTGACTGAGTGTAAGCACTGAGCCCAGGACTAGCAAGACAAGACATGTTAGTGCTCTTCCTTTTAACTTTGTAAACCAGCTCTGGAGGCTGGAGACATAGTGCTTTTATAAACCTGCTGCTTGGAACCCCACCTTCCAGAAATTCTGTTCCTCCAAACCTTCGAAACCACCTCTTCCCCTCACCAGGACCCACTTCCTCTCTCTCTCTGGGAGGGAAGGAGGTGAGGACTCAGATGTGGCCACAGCTGGTGAGCGTCCTCAGCGAGGCCATACTGCCCAGGGAAAGACCTGGGATCTGTAAAGCAACACGAGGCAGTGAGGGGGACTGTGGAGGCCCCGGAGCAAAAATGAGTCAGTCGGGGCCAAATCTGAAACTTCTTCTCGCCACTTCTCGGAAGGGCAAGGATGTACGCATTTAGAACTGCACTCTGAGCCAGTGGTGAGGTTCCAACAGGGCCCGGAAGTAGGCTCGGTGGGGTGGACGAGGCCCTCTCCACCATCCTCTGGTCCCCTCCACCTGGCCCACTCTCCCCCAGGACCTCCTCAGAGAAGCTCTCTGGACTCTGCTCACCCTGTGTTTACACTTCTCGGCAGCGCTGTCATCACCTGGCAGGATACTGCGAGCCACAGTCTCTCCTGTGAAGTCCTGGGCCCAGATGTGTTTCACAATGCAGAATTACACCAACTTTAGAAAGGCAATCTTGCATAAAATACCCCCTGCCCCCAACATAACGACTCCCCACAGGGTCTGGGGCAGCACTCGTGATCACTTACATTAATTTCTCTGCAGCCTGACATATGAACCCACACCCAAGGAGGATAAAGATGCTAAAGAGCCTCATGTTTAATTCAGGTCATGGTCTGCTGCTAAATGAGTCAGGAGAAAAGTTTTGGTTTTCAGAGCTTGTGGATTTCAGAGTTCTAGATAAGGGGTGGAGAGCTGTATATACTTATTTGTTTGTGCACTGCTTGTCTTCTCAACTAGATGCAAATTCCAGGAGAACAAAGACCGTCGGATGTGCTATCACTAGCACATGGCACAGTGCCTGGTACGTGGGAGGTGCTCAATAAATATTTGAAGAAGAAACAAACGAGAAAGGCAGGTGGTGGCCATGGAGAAGTGACTGTCCTAAATGGAGAGAGAACCAGCCATCACTGAGCCCCTTCTATGAGCAAGATGTCTATAAAAATTATCTCGTGAACCCCACCCCAAAATATACCCATTCTACAAACAAGCAAACTGAGGTTCAGGGAGGTTCAGCCACTTCCTCCAGATCACACACCTAGAAAGCAGCAAGCCCAGATTTGAACCTAGGCCTATCTCTCTTCAAGCCTATGTCTTTCTCTCTGCCTCAGGCTCAGACAACCAGAGCAACCTGCTGGAAGTCACACCACAAAGCAATAGGGGAAAATGTTCTACCTGATGCTGGATCCCCAGCCTCTGCAGCACCCTCAAAATTCCCGCTATGGTTGTCTAATTCACACCCAGGCTAATGCAAATCCATGTAAAGTGCAGGCAAGCCCTTGACTTCTCTTCCAACCCAGCCAAAGGAAGTCTGCTCATACGTGGCTGGGCATGTCTCAACAGGGCCAGCCATGAAGAATGCTTGAAAACACGTCCTCTTGGTCACACCAGCAAACTGACACAGAGGAAAAGAACACAGGCTGGGAAGGAAAGTGTGTTCGAATCCCTCCGTCACTCCTAGACGTGGGAACTTAGGCAAGGCTACTGCACACATCTCTGGGTCTCAGTTTCCTCACCTGCAAAATGGGTAGACTAAGGCCCACCCAATTGGATGCACGGCTGCAACAAGCAATATTTATTTAACAAATACATAGTGCTTACAACATCCTAGGTTCTGATCTATATGCTTGAGATATATTAACTACTTTAATCCTCACTACAACCCTCTAAGAGTTCCTGGGTGGTGCAAACGGTTAACACACTCGGCTGCTAACCAAAAGGTTGGAGGTTCGAGTCCACCCAGAGGCTCCTTGGAAGAAAGGCCTGGTGATCTGCTTCCAAAGCAATCAGCCATTGAAAATTGTATGGAGCACAGTTCTACTGACACACACGGGGTCGCCATGAGTCAGAATCAACTCTACAGGTAACTGGTGGTTTTTTTACAACCCTATAAAGCAGTATCTACAATTATTCCTGTTTCACAAGTGGGGAAACTGAGGTCCTGAGAAGTTAAGTAATTTGCCTAAGGCCACATAGTAAGTAGTAAAGCCAGCATTTGAACCTGAGCATCTGGCTTCCAGAGTTCATGCTCTTAACCTCCAAGCCATACTTCTTGACAGGTAAGAACAGTCTGGAACATTTACTGTGGATCTACTATGTGTTAAGAACTGTGTTAAATAGCTTATAAAACATGAGGTCAGTAACCCCCAGGAAAACCCAATTTTATAAATATGTGAAAACAGAGGCCCAGGGGGCCACCCCTAGAGATCTTACACCCTCTCCTCCATCCTCCCCAAGCAGGCACAGGGAGAGCAGAACTTTAGGAAAGGTTCTCATATCCTTGATGCTTCCTTTTAGCTCCTTTCTAAAGCTGAGCACCAGGGAGCTGTGACTGCCTGAGGGGGTAATTCCTCCTCCTGCCTGGGCTTTCTGCAACCCTGGGAATATGCTGCACAGAACACATCCGTCACTGAGTCACCAGCCAGAATGTGGAAGTCCTCAGGTCACAACTGGGTGTTGCAACTGGGGTAACTCAATAGTGGTTTTTATCCCTGCTGCCTCCCACAGCCTCCATACAGATTTGGATGCAGAGGTCCAGGGTGGAGCCCAGGAACCTGCATTGTGACTCCTCCGGTTTAGGCAGATGTAAAATACATCAGCCTACAGAGTGAAATCCGGGCTCCTCAGTGAGGCACTTAGGCCTTTCATAGAGTGCCCGGCCTACCTTTCCATCACTCTCTGCCTTCTCCCACTCCCTAGGCTCAACCCCCCATGCCCTTTCTGCCTCCAAGCTCCCATCCATGCTGTTCCAGCTGCTTAGCCTGGCTTTATCTCCCATTCCCAGCTGCCAAACTCCTCTACTTCCAAGACTGGCTCAGGGTCCCCGCCCTGTGAAGCCTTCCTCACTGCCCTGCTGTGTGTTCCCACTGCTCTCATAGCTGACCTCCCCGGCACAATCTTCTCCCCAGGGGGCAGCTCCTTGAGGACAGACACTAGCCCCCAGAAGCATGAAGCACACAGTAGGAGCTCAGTGAGTGTTGAGTGAGTGAATAGTGTGGGCAGCCACCTCCCATTCTGCACCTCAACGTGTCCATCTGTAATAATGGGCTGGGCTAGCTGGCTTCTAAGAGGCCTTTCCAGCACTAGAGATTCCAGGCCTCTGGATCCCCTGACTGAGTGGGCCACTCTGGCCACATGTACACCCAAGCCTCAGTTTCCCCATCAGACTTAAGGATTTTAATAAAGGCGCTGATGTCCCAGCAATGCCCGGGGCTCCTAAAAGGTGGCCCAGAAGAGAGGACCTCAGCGGGTTACATCTGCAAAGGGTGAAGGAAGGCCAGAGACTAGGCTTCAAGCAGGATTAGTGCTGGCCTGAGGGCGTTCGAATCCCAGCAGCAGCATGGAGTTTGCTGAGGTCCAGTCTTGCCTAATCACAAAGAACCCAGATTTTGTTTTGGAAAAATAATAATCCAGATTCCTGGGCCTATTGAATCTGAATCTCACGGAAGGAGCCTAGGAACCTTCCTTTTAAACAAATCCCCTGGAGAATCCTGTGAGCAGGGTAGTTTGACTAATGTTGAGAGGCGGAGGGCAGCGAGCTCTGGAGTCAGACTGCCTGGGTTTCTATCCTGCTTCAACAAAGCTGGGCATCACTTTGGGAGTTATTTGACCTGCCTGTGCCTCAGTATCCTCGTCTGTAAAATGGTCATGATACATAGCACCGACCACAGAAAGATTATTGTGAGGTTTACCTCAGGATACTTTCAATGTTCCGGGCAAGCATGCATGAAAAAGTCCCAGGAAATGATCGCTATTATCCGGGCCAACCCATCCTCGGAGGAGGAGAGCAAAGGTCCAAAGGGCTTTATTTCCTTGACCTCGTATCCAGCTTCACGGTCTTCAGAACCTTTCCCACCCTTGCTCGCCCTCAATCCTCACGAACGTCCTGACTCATGCGCGCGGGGCGGGGGTGATTACCAAAAGACGGGGACTGCGTGACCCAACATCTGCCTCATCCCAAACTCGCGACGTCCCCAAAGCCCCCGAGCGTCCGTCCCTGCTGATGTCTTGGGGACAGCACGCGTTTTGGGGGCGTGCTGGTTGCCTAAGCACCCACAGGCAAGCCTTCCCCGGCTGCTGGTCGGGGCGCTCCCCGGGGTCCCCGGCGCCTCCAGCCAGGCCGCTGGCCGAGAACTTCCCCGATGCTCGCTGAGCCCCCAAGGCGGTCCCCTAGAGCCTCCTTCGCGCGCGGTCCCGGATCCTACCTGCGCGCTCCTGGTCCATTCGCCTTTCGGTCGCCGCGAAAGAAAACTAGGGGACCCGGGCGCCCCCAGCCTTCCTCAGCGCCGCGCGGGGCTTTCCTAGGCGCGGATCCAGGCCGTCGCCTCCTGCGCCCCGCCCCAGGCCCTCCTGATTTGCATGCAGGTCCCGCCCCAGGCCCGGCTGATTTGCGTACGGGCCCCGCCCGGCGCACCCGGCGCTTGCGGGGGGAAGCGAGTCCGAACGCTCACCCGGCGGAGGGGCGGATTCCGCGACCTCGACACTGTTGCTACAGCCCGTTGCAGTCGGAGCCACCATCCCCTCCTGAGGGCGAGCCCCTCACTCCGCCAGGGTCCCTGCCACCACGCTTTCCACGCGGGCACGCTTTGCTCAGAATCTGCAGTAGCTTCCACCTCACTCTCAGATCAAAATGCAAGGCCTGCCGTATTGTTTCCAGGTTCCCGCTTCGACCTCCACCTCCCCTCCTGCCACGACCCCCTCACCTCACCTTGCAGAGAGACCAGTTGCGTTCGGGGCTGGGCCAACTCGAATCCTTAGCCTCTTTCCAACAGCCCAACTTTCGACAGTGTCAATGTTCATTCCTCAACGAATGTTTCACTGAGAGCCTACAATATGCTACGCAAATCAAACAAAGCCCGTTGCTGTGGAGTCTATTCCGACTCATGGAAACCCTATACGACAGGGTAGAACTACCCCATAGGGTTTCCAAGGAGCGGCTGATGGATTCAAACTGCCCTCCTTTTGGTTTGCAGCGGAGCTCTTAACCACTGCGCCACCAGGGCTAGGCTTCAGAAATTTTTAAATAAGAAAACAACCCTTTACCCTTTGCCCTTGAGTCGATTCTGACTCACAGCGCCCCTGTAGGACAGAGTAGAACTGTCCTATAGGGTTTTCAAGGCTGTAATCTTTTTTTTTTTTTTATTGATGTAATTAAATGAAGTTTACATTTCAAGTTAGTCTCCCATACAGAATTTTTTTTTTTAACCTACATTGTTATGAGACCCCAACCGCTCACCCCATTCTGCGACAGCACACTCCTCCCCTCCGCCCCTGATTTCCCATGAACATTCAACCAGCTCCTAACTCTCTCTGCCTTCCCGCTCACCTCTGGACAGAAGCCGCCCCTTTGGTCTCTTATATCTACTTGTCTAAGAGGCACATTCTTCACGAGTATCACTTTATGTCCCACAGTCCAGTCCAATCCCTGTCTGAAGAGTTGGCCTCGGAAATTGTTTTAGTTCTGGGGTGATGGCGAGACCAGGGGCCATGCTTTCCAGGGCGCCTCCAGTCTTAGTCAGACCATTAAGTCTGGTCTTCTTACTAGTATTTGAGTTCTGCATCCCATCGTTCTACTGCTCCATCAGAGACCCTCTGTTGTGTTCCCTGTCAGGACGTTCATTGGTGGGTCAAGGCTGTAATCTTTAAGGAAGCAGACTGCCACACCTTTCTTCTGCAGAGCGGCTAGTGGGTTCCAACCGCTGACCTTTCGGTTAGTGGCCCAGCTCTTAACCATTTCGCTACCAGGGCACCTTAACAACCCTCTAGTTAATAACCAATATAATCTGTCAGACCCTGTTCTAAGGCACTGCGTATATTAACCCATTTAATCCTCACAACTACCCTATGAAGGAGCTGCTATTACTGTCACCCCATTTTACGGATGAGGAAACTGAGGCATAGAGCCCTTAAGAAATTTGCTCTGCCACACAACAGGCAAGCAATAGAGCAGGAATTGGAGCCCAGGTTACGTAGATCACCATAAAAGTGATGGAGCCTGTTGTTGATAGATGCCGTCAAGTCGGTTTTGACTCATAGCGACCCTATGTACAACAGAAGAAACAGTGCCCAGTCCTGTGCCATCCTCATGACCGTTGTTATGCTTTAGCCCGTTGTTGCAGCCACTGTGTCAATCCATCTTGTTGGGGGTCTTCCTCCTTTTCGGCTGACCCTCACTTTATCAAGCATGATGTCCTTTTCCAGGGACTGATTCCTCCTGATAACATGTCCAAAGTATGTGACATAAAGTCTTGCCATCCTCGATTCTAAGGAGCATTCTGGTTGTACTTCTTCCAGGACAGATTTGTTCGTTCTTTTGGCAGTCCACGGTATATTCAATATTCTTCACCAACACCATAATTCAAAGGCATCAATTCTTAGGTCTTCCTTATTCATTGCCCAGCTTTCGCATGCATATGAGGCGATCGAAAACACCATGGCTTGGGGCAGGCGCACATTTGTCCTTAAAGTGACATCTTTGCTGATGCCTGAGGGTGGAGGAAAGCACACTAACAAATCAGGTAAGACCATCTCAGGTAATAGTAGGGCCCAACAAGACAACAGAGGAAAGAGATCCATCAGGTGAGTGGGGCAGGTGGTCAGAGCAGGTCTCTGTCTGAGGAGGAGACATTTGAACTGAGAACCTGAAGCGAAGTATATGAGGAAGACTAGTTTAGGGAGATCAATCCTTGGGTGGCACGAGTGGTTTGTACCCTACTAACAATCTAAAGCCTGGCAGTTTCATGTTGGACACCTTGAGAGGAGGCCAGGCTCTTGTCAGGGCGTGGGCATGGTGGAAAAGGCAAGGCCATTCTATTTTTATTCTTTTTATAACAACTTTACTGAGATATAATTTATATGCCATAAAATTCACACATTTAAAATGTACATACAAATGGCCTCGCCTACCTTGAGATCAGAAGAACTAGATGGTGACCTGCTACCACTACCGACTGTTCTGACCATGAAGTCAATAAATGGCCCCAGATAGAAGGGGAGAGAAATGTAGAGCAAAACTCAAATTCCTAAAAAAAAAAAAAAAAAAAAAGGCTAGACTTACTGGACCAGTAGAAACTGGATGAACCCCCGAGGTTATCATCCTAGGATACCTTTTAAACTTGGAACTCAAACCCCTCCCAGAGGTCACCTTTCAGCCAAAAGACAGATTGGCCCATAAACCTGTGAGTACTGTGCTTCTTTGAATAAGCATCTAAATGAAACCAAATGGTAAACATTTTTCCCTAGACAAAAAACACGAGAAGGTAAAAGGGGACAAGGAAGCTAGATTAACAGAAACAGAACAACCAGAATGGAAATAATGAGAATGTTGATATTGTTGATACATTGTGAAAAACGTAACCAATGTCACTGAACAATATGTACAGAAATTGTCAAATGAGGACCTAACTTGCTGTATAAACTTTCACCAAAAACATAATAAAATATTTTTAAAAAGAAGAAGAAAATGTAAAAAAAAATAAAAAAAAAAGTTTGTCGGTTCAAAGCTACCCAGTGGCGCCACCAAAAAAGGCCTGGCGATCTTCTTCCGTAAAGATTACAGCCAAGAAAACCCTATGGAGAAGTTTTGCTCTGTAACACATGGGGTCACCATGAGCTGGAATCGACTGGACTGCAATGGGTTTTTAGTTTAGGGAGAAGAAATAGCAAGTGCACAGGCCCCGAGGTGGAAACCAAGTTTACTTGTTGGAGGAATTGTTCACATGAAGGCCAAGAGCAAAGGAGATGAGGTAGGAGGTATACAGGCTCAGGCTGGCAGTGCTGGGCACCCAGAGAGTAAATTTGACCCCGTCCTGCCCTCGAGGAGCTCCCAGTCTGAGGGTGGAGGTAAACTCCTCCGAGGCAATGACAGCCCAGTGGGATCAAGTGTCCCGGTGAGGGTGAGCCAGGGAAACAGCGAAGCCCCTGGGGGTAAGAGTTAGCTTCCTAGGGGAGATGACAGCTAGTAGTTCAATACTGCTGATGACCTGTAGTTCAGTCTCATTCATTAATTCATTCCTGCACTCACTCCTTCTTGGGCCTCCTGCATGCCTGACCTGTGACAAGTGCTGAGGATGCAGACAGAAATAGGCACTAGCCCTGTCCTCTAGAGACCTTGCAACCAGGTGGGTGAGACAGCCACAGACCCCCAAGTAAGTGACACACAGCAGACTCAGTCCCGGGGGGCAGGGATAGCTTCCTGGAGGAGGTGGCCTCTGACGGATGCCTCCAAGGGTCAGTGGGGATGTCCACAGAGGAAAAGAGGAAAAGGGGGAAAGGCATTGAGGCGGAGGGCGTGGCATGTGCAAATACCTGGAGGCAAGCCATGGCATGGGGCGTGGAAAACTGCAGTCAGTCAGAGTCTATTTCTCCACGCCTCCTTGTGCCAGGTCTTGAGCTGGGGAGACTGAGGAATAGACAGACCCAGCCCCGGTTTCCTTGCCCTGGGGATCTGGGGATGGACACCACTAGCTGAGCGTAACGAAGGTTATCATGGGTGCAGCGCAGACTGATACGGAGAGGGAGGTCTTAAGGAGGACTTCCAGCAAGAGGTGACACTTAAGCTTGGGCTTCAGGAAAACCCATTGCCATCAAGTCAATTCCAACTCATAGCACACCTATAGGATGGAGTAGAACTGCACCATAGGGTTTCCATGGCTGTAATCTTTGCGGAAGCAGACTGCCACGTCTTACTCCCCCTGAGAGGCTGGTAAGTTTGAACCACTGACCTTTCGGTTAGCAGCCAAGCGCTTAACCACTGGGCCACTAGGGCTCCTTCTAGTGAATAGAATATGGTGGAAATGAGGTGGTGACTGAGGCTACGTTACAAAAGGAAAAAGTGTCTGCTGTACTCTCTCCTTCTCTTGCAACTCACGCCTTGGGATCCCTGAGCTAAGCTAAGACCAGCTACCCTGAAGTCATCCTGCAGGAGAGTTCAAGGGGGAGACTACATAGCGATGAGCAGGAAGCCTGAGGAGCCCCAGCTGTTTGCGACTTCCCAGCCCAGGCACCAGAGATGTGAGCAGACGAGCCTTCAGATGATTTCAAGCCCCAGATTTCTAGTTACCCCTGCTGACACCAAGGAAAACAGGGATGAGCTGACCCCACCAAGCCCTGTCCAAACTGCAGCATCGTGAGCAAAATAAATGTTGTTGTTTTAACCTGATGCCAAGTAGGGACAAGCAGTCCCCTCTGAGACCTGCCAGAGTGCAGATCTGGGAACAAAATAAATGCTGTTGTTCTAAGCCATTCTCTTTGGGATGGTTTGTCACACAGTCATGGTACCTGGAACGGCTGCATACCCATAACACTGACCTCCCTCGTTCTTCTTTGCCAATGGAAGCCAGATTTTGTTTGGGGGCAGCAATGTGCCTCAGCTGAGGCAATGGATTGTGATTGGTTCTGGCCAATCATGACAGTCCTGTTTCAGCTTTCCCACCCTTCCTTACTGCAAGGAGTGGTCGAGTGTCGAAGTCCTGCCAATGAAACATAATGAAAGTCTGCTGGGTGGGGGTGTTTTGGGCCAATACTGGCTTTCCTGATAGAAGGGGTTTCCCTGCTGTGATCACGGACCCTCTTACAACCTAATATTTATACTCTCTGGCCCTTTAGAGAAAAATTTTGCCAGCCCCTGATATAGATAATCATTATCCATTTACTGACAGCATGCGATTCCACTGCATGTCTATTTAATCAGCCTCTTCTGGATGGATAGTTAGGTTGTTACCCATGTTTTCCTTACGCTAAACAACACTGTGGTGAACGTTCTTGAACAGTTACCTTTGTGCAATTGTTTATCTCCTTAGAATAAATTTTGAGAAATAAAAGCACATTTGACACTGTAACATCTAAAGCTTTAGCCTCTTCCCCCCACTCCACCCCACTGCCACATTTGTCCCTTAAGGTACATTTGCTTTTCAGT